TTACAGCTGGAGAAACTGAGGCACAAAGGTGTTAGGGTCAGAACCTTCTAATGTGAGCACTTACTTTGCTGCCTGAAGGAGTGGCATTTAAATTCACTGTAACTCCTTACTTTTCTAATCTTTAAAATGACTATCATTTAAAATCTATTTTGCTGGACCTGCCTCAGGGAGGCCAACTGTACAATTTGAGAACCAGTTTTCTAGAAAGACTTAATATCTTAATACGAGGATCCAATCCTTCTGAAAACCCTATAGGCGGTTTTAGGGACAACAGCTTATATGTTATCAGGTGTTACTGGAGACAGTCTTGATTCTCTTAATTGGGAGACAGTACTTTAGCAGAGTTAGAAAACATACAAATATTTTATGGAATATGAAATGCCCATGATTTTGGAATTGGGATGTTTGGAACTGAAACAATAAGCCAGTTTGGAACGATGCTTAATAATATACAGGGGCACCATTTAGTTGTTTGAGTGTGGTGTTTCTGAAGCCAAACCTAGTTTCCAATGTAGGACTAAAAATTAGACAGGAGTAATTCTGAACCTTGCACCTGGAAATGAACTTTGGTTTGAAAGTATAACAAATACACTTTCAGCAGGGTATAAATAAATCTGTGTACAGTCTTGGAGTCCTATATTTCCATCTCCCTTATGTGGAGACCCCTGTTATTCAATTGGAACTTTTAGGCTTTAGGCTGCAAGTGAAATTGCAGTTATGGTTAAGAGTATATGTGTAAAATTTCTACACAGAAAATATAAAATGTGTAGTATTCTCCCAGTGTGCGGAAGAGACATTTAATGAGCACACAGGTAATATTTTAAGAACTCTGTGATGTCTGCTAGGGAACTCACTGCAGATTTAATTTATCTGGGAAAAGTGTAAATAGGCACTATAGAAAATCCTTAAATTTGGGTTTGTCTACATATGAAAATTATTCCAGATTAAGGTAGGCTGTGAATTTAAAGCCCAATAACTATTCCTGAATAACATTATGTTTTGGTGTGGCTTAATCCAGTTCCAAAGAGGATTAAGCTAATTTGGAAAAAGGCATTCTTATTCTGGAATAACTACTGCATGTATAGCTAAACCCTGAGACGATCGAGCGCTAATGAGAATTAGAAGTTCTCAGAGGGGTAGCCGTGTTAGTCTGGATCTGTAAAAAGCAACAAAGAGTCCTGTGGCACCTTGAAGACTAACAGATGTATTGGAGCATAAGCTTTTGTGGGTGAATGCCCACTTCGTCAGACGCATGTCACCCACGAAAGCTTATGCTCCAATACATCTGTTAGTCTTTAAGGTGCTATAGGACTCTTTGTTGCTTTTTAGACGGTCTCAGACTCCCAAACTGATAAATGCATTTTGCAGTGCCCATGGAAGCAAAACAGGGTCTCCAATGTCCTGGACTATGCTTTCAAATAAAAAAATGAAATAACTTGCAAATGTATTTTATTCATGTTCATACTTTTAGGTTTAGAGGATTAAAAGGCATAAAGAGGAGCTTGTGATTCAAGAAAATATAGTAGAACCTCAGAGTTATGAACACCAGAGTTACGAGCTGACAGGTCAATCATGTACATACCTCATGTGGAACTGGAAGTACCCAGTCAGGCAGCAGAGACAAAACAAACAAATACTTGTACAGTATAGTACTACGTTAAACATAATATTCTAAAAAAAGGGAAAATTAAAAAAAAAAAGTTTGACAAGGTAAGGAAACTGTTTGTGTGCTTATTTCATTTAAATTAAGATACAGTAGTTAAAAGCAGCATTTTTCTCATGCACTGTAAAGTTTCAATGCTGTATTAAGTCAATGTTCAGTTGTAAAGTTATTTTGAAAGAACAACCATAATGTTTTGTTCAGAGTTATGAACAACCTTCGTTCCCGAGGTGTTTGTAACTGACGTTCTAGTGCAGAGATTGGCAATGTTTGGCACTCTGCCTGCCAGGGTAAGCCCCCTGGCCGGCTGGGCCGGTTTGTTTACCTGCCGCGTCTGCAGGTTTGGCCGATCACAGCTCCCACTGGCCGTGGTTCACTGCTCTAGGCCAATGGGGGCTGCGGGAAGCAGTGGCCAGCACTTCCCTGGGCCCACAAGGCTTCCTGCAGCCCCCATTGGCCTGGAGAGGTGAACTGCGGCCAGTGGGAGCTGCGATCGGCCGAACCTGCGGCCCCGCAGGTAAACAAACTGGCCCAGCCTGCCAGGGGGCTTACCCTGGTGGGCTGTGGGCTAAAGGTTTCCGATCCCTGTTCTAGTGTATCTGTCTTGAACTACTACACTTAGCTGTTTTATCACCAGAGTTTGTGTGTGTGACCCCCTGCCCTAACCACCCCCCACTCTCGGGATCCCATCCCCTATCCAACTCCCCCCTGCTCCGTGTCCCCTGACTGCCCCAAGCCCTAGCCATACCCTGCCCTTTGACAGCCCCCTTGGGACTCCAACGCCTATCCAACTGATCCCTGTCCCCTGACTGCCCCCCAGAACCTCCTGTCCCTTCTTCAACTCTGCTCCCCACCCCCTTATCATTGCTGCTCAGAGCACCAGGACTGGCAGCCGTAAATAGTACACTGTAAGTAGCACATTCCTACGGGGAGCAATTTAATACACTACACCTCACTTAACGTTGTAGTTATGTTCCTGAAAAATGCAACTTTAAGTGAAACGATGTTAAACTAATCCAATTTTCCCATAAGATTTAATGTAAATGCGGGGGGGTTACGTTCCAAAGAAATTTTTTTGGGCAGACAAAAGGCATTATATAGTGTACAGTACTGTACCGTGGTGGGGAGGTGCCCCTGGCTTACCCCACATAGGCACAGCCCACTGCAGACAATGAGGCAGGCAAGGATGCTAGGAAGCACCTTGCGCAGCAGCAGCAGCTTCCCACCAGAAGAACAGGTGCTGACTTTGCTGGGGGATGCCTCTTCCCACCCCCGCTCCACTCCAGGCCCGGCTCTTCCCACCCCCACGCCATCTCCTCCCCAGAACACGCCGCGTCCCCGCTCCTCCCCCTTCCTCCTGCTTCTCTCCAGCCTGCTTTGAAGGGGAAAGTGCCGCTTCTTTCTGGATGCAGGCTGCGCTGCTGCCGCTGCCCCTCCTGAGTCCTCTAGCTCGTGCTTGCAGGGCCACATTCCAAAAGGGGCTTTAGAGCTGCAGGCCGGGGCCCCCTTAGCCCAGGGCCCTGTAGCCTCTAAAGCCCCTGCGTTCTGGGTGGCCCTGCCTGCTGGGGAGTGGGGGCGTGGCAGCTTCCCCACTTGCTCCCTCCTTCCCAGAAATCTTGGTGGGGGGGAAGGTTTTTGTTTGTGCTCTTTGTTTTGTTGGAGTTCGCTCTTGGGACTAAGAGGGATCAGACATCAATTCATGCTCTCCAAATCTTTCTGAACAAGTCTCTCATATTTCAAACTTGTAAGTAAACAGCCAGGCAAGGCGTGTTAGTTTTATCTTTGTTTTCTCAACTTGTAAATGTACCTTTTACTAGGGTGTTTACCTCTGGTTGCTGTAATTTTGAACCTAAGGCTAGAGAGGGGTCCTCTGGGCT